CCACGCCCTCCCGGCCGCACGTGCGTCTCCTGCTCGGCCGCCCCCGGCGGCGGCGAGGTCACAGGAGCGCAGGCCCAGAACACACTGCTCCACTTCACTCGCCACACAAGCACCGTATTTTGTACTTTTGTCCTCTTTAGTTCTTAGGTGTGGGAAGGGAGAAAGAAACAAAGGAAAATCAGTCATCAGTTTTCTGTGTGGCAAACAAAACTCCGTGAAACGCCGTCTAGTGGCGAAATTGTCCAGGGATGGCAAATTGGTTTTGTTACCCCCTCCAATGTTCATTTCAATTAGAATTTTAAAGCCTCTTTGCATCTGTCAAATTGCAGTGGGGATATAGGACAATCTCCAGGTAGGGGTAAATTTAGTCCCGTAACCTGAAACTGGCCCAGGCTAAGCAAGAACATTGAACCATTTTCCACCTCTTTCCTGGATCGCCTTCCTCTGGAGACAAAAGTACAAAAATCGCTTCTCCACGAGGTAAAGGCAGAACTCTGCGGACTCCTTGTCTAATGCGCAGCCATCCCACCCCCGCCCCAAGCTGGAATATCCACATTTCTGCGTTTGTTCTTAAGGGATGGGAATCTGGCTTGGGTAGGACTGGCAGAAGAATCCCTCTGTAGAAGAGATGGAGTGGTGCCCCCAGATACCTCCCAAAGCAAGTTTTAAGCTTATGGTTAAATATCGACCTTTCACGAGTTTGTTCTATGAGTCCTTCCCCAGCCCCAACCCCAACCCCTCCCAACCCCCGCCCAAAACAGTCCACTCAAGAAATGTAGGCCATTCTGTGTTTTCATTTACGGATTCGACTCTTACTTCCAAGGCCTCGTATTTAAAGACCAGAATTTTTGACATCTACCTGAAGGTGCAGTCAACAGCCTATTTTGACAAGCATTTAAATTACACCCTACTCTTGCCCAAAGCCTCCCGCCTGACTTTGTGAAAGTTAAAGAAATTCTTAATTTCTTATTAAAGACCCTCCTCTTTCTGCTCATATTATCTCCTACTTCAGAGAAAATCAGATATGATGAAGAACTGCATACATTTTCCTAAAAAAAAAAAAAAGGAGTGCAACAAAGTGAAACTTGACTTACAGGGAACTAAGTAGTTGTAAGTAAGAGGGGGAAAGTAATTACTAGTAGTGCTATAAAACAAATTTAAGAGGAAAAATGAGAGGTAGTTTCCACTAAACAGACTGCCCCATGTTGGAGTAGGGACAGGCTATTCTTCCTTAACCCTTAAAAATAATCATCTATAATAATTAAATTATTTTCAAACTGTAAACTGCTTTCAAACACCATAGCGTTTTACCAGATTTATTTTACTTGTTATACACAGACGATACAAACGAGCAAAAAACAAAACGTTTCTCAATGGAGTGTGTACTTGTATAAATTATTCAGTTCACAGACAAAACGAAACAAATATAAAAATCACAACATTAGATTTACAGAAGAGCCAAAATATACACACGTTTAGACCCTGAATTCCTATTAGGAAAAAAATCCCCCCAGTGGACTGGAATCTAGATTGAATATTGTGTATGATGCATATTTCACATTAATTTTAAAATACAAAAAAAAGTATAGGTTTGCTACACAACATTAGAAATCCTACTAATCTATTTTTAGGGGGATTAGTGCTCCTTATCAAATATAACAAGACTTAGAGGGCGGAAAAAAAAAGTCTTACTTGCATTAATGCTAGTGTTTTCCCAAGGAAGTCAAATTTCAGCTGTTTCTAGGTGGCAGGAAAATCATTTTCAAAACTAAAATGCAGTAAAATATACAACTCACACAATTCATCTTCACTAGACTACACTATAGTTACCAACAATTCAGTCATCTATATCATTAGTAGAATATTCATTACAAAGATTTACAGCATATAAAGGTGGAGGGGGGAACTGAAAAGTTATTCAGGAACAGTTTGTCAGCATATTTGGCACCTGCACAGACCAGTAATGGATTTGGCACTTTGGGGAAAAACAAATAAGGCAAAATAATATTGCTGATGTCGAGCTATTCTATTTAGAAGGAAGGGGGGAAAACATGTAACTCCAGTTAACTTTGCTTTGCAGGCATCATGCCATTTAATCGACTTGCCTATGAACAGACACCTATCCTTTACAGGTGTTTGGTCGGATTCTTCTTAGCTATTTGTGTGCAGTATGGCACAGAGTAATTATTTCATGCAACGGGTTGAAGAGAAGTGAGAAACCCATCATTATCTATCAGATATTTCAAGTTTCCAGAGCCTCTTAGAATATTAATTATCTCACAAGAAAGAAATTTAAAGGGGAGAAGGGGTGAAGGAAAAGGCAAAGAAAGGAAAAGAAGTGAATGAGAAGGTTAAGCATGAACTGGTTATGTGCCTTGACAATGAGAATAAAAACTAGCCATTCGTTACAGTAAATTAACACTATATACAATCATTTCACAGGCTTTGTTCCACTAAAATTATTAACATCCCTACCATCCATCCATCCATCCACTCGGGGATAAGAAAGGACGCGCTGGGTGGGTCCAGGTTCTAGAGTCAACGTCCTATGGTTAATGGGGAGGCCGAGACTTGGCGGGTCGGAATCGCTGCTGCCTACAGGACTGCCCAGGTCTCCTAAAGGTGAAGAGTTTCATTACGAGAAAGAGAAGGAGAGGGTGAGAAAAAGACGAGGGGGTGGGGGAGGACTGCTAGAAGGATAACTTCACAGAAGAAAAGTAGGAAAACCAAAAGGTTTACAGCCAAGTTGAAGATCGGTGCGCTAACTGCAGAAACTGCTGTGCAAAAAAAGTTAACATCACAGTCGGAGACCTGGACTTATTCACTGCAGACGGTGTTCGAAGGTCAAATAAACCGAGGGTGTGCGCGAGGTGGGATGTGGGGAGGAGGAGCAGGGGGAGAGGCGCAAGGGGCTGGCCGGGGTGGGGGCCGTTCCGCGGCGGGGAGCGGGGAGCGGGGAGCGGGG